AAAAATAACAACAGTGCAGATTAAGTCTCCAGAAAGGATTTAGGAGGCCATTAACAAAACAACAAACTGCATATTCTGTATAACTTCCAATGAGCAGAAAGACCAGCTAGCTTCACATCTTCCTTCTCTTTACTCCATGCTTTTATAGCAGATATTATTGAACAAATCTTCACATTATTGCCTATAAAAACAACCTTGACCACACCACTAAATGTGTGGGCACAATCAATTGGGCAGTAAAGTTTGACACAGAAATCCATGAAAATTGCATACAAAACATATTTTGTTTCACAAAAAAAAAAAAAAGATATTTATGGCAATACCTTGAAATTATTGAAATACACATGCTATGAATGGCTTGAATTCAATTTGCTAGGCTAGGAATGTCTATTCACTCAGTCAACAATCCTTAGAAACTTGTAGACAGAAAACAGATTATGATATACATCTTTAAACATGCAAAGAAAAACAAATCTGAATGGTTCTAATACTCTCAAATTATTCTATAACTATATATGTTCAACACTCCTGCGTACATCCTAACCTGTATGGATACTATTTGGTGTTAAAAGATGAACAAATACTTTTTAAATTTCATCAGGGAAGACGATTTCATAGACTTGTCTGTAATCACCGACAAAGTGGACATCAAGACCATCACTAATGTATTTCGGGAGATCATCAAAATCTTTTTTGTTCTCTTCAGGAATAACTATTGTTTTCACACCAACTCTCTTGGCCTGTAAATAAATTAAACAGTTAAAATATGTACGGTACATACTTGAGGAAACATTAGTTACATATATGTACAGTAGTACATGTACTCACAGCAATTGTTTTCTCTTTAATACCACCAACAGGTAATATTTTGCCTGTCAAAGAAATTTCTCCAGTCATTGCGACATCCTGAAGAATAGGCTTCTTTTTTGCAAGAGACAGCAGTGCTGTTACTATGGTACAACCTGCACTAGGTCCATCCTTTGGAGTAGCTCCCTAATACAACAAAATTGAAAAAGTTTCATTAAGAAATCATGATGACATTGATTTTAAAATCAGTCTATATGGAACGTACTTGAGGAACGTGAAGATGTAAGTGAGCATTGTCTAAAAATTTATTTGATGGATCTTTTTCAGAAAGGTAATTACGTGCGACAGTCAATGCAATTCTTGCTGACTCTTTCATAACATCCCCAAGGTGACCAGTAATTTCCATTGAGCCTGCACCAGCAGCCTTCTTATCTTCACTATTCTCAGGAAGACTTTTCCTGTTAGTGGTCTCAATAAACAAGACAGATCCTCCTGTAATTGTGACAATAAATTTAAGCCATTGTACTTATGAAGTAATGAGATTAGTGAATATGTACTTTTGATTTCATACCCATTGATGTCCATGCAAGCCCCATCACAACTCCAGGAGGTGTTGTATCATACATTCGATCATGTGTAAATACTGGTTTGCCAACAAAATCTTGCAAATTACTAGGTTCAACATTGAAGTGATCACCCTCTTTCTTCACTATTTTAAAAGCAACTTTACGTACAACCTGAAAAAGACCAGTAATTGCTATATAGGACACAGAAGTGGTGCAGTGAAAACTGAAATTGTGGATAGGTGTCTCGTCAAACCTTCTCAATGTGTTTCTGTAAATTACGGACTCCACTTTCTCTGCAGTATGATTTAATTATTGTGTTAAGTGCATCATCCGTAATAGCAACCTAGAAAAGAGAGGATCGAAAACAGTAAATTCAATGGTATGTCATAGTGTCATTACTTTCCGGTGAAGTGAGTCAATGCTTTCTGTTGAACTTACGTGAGAATCAGTCACCCCACAGTCCTTCATTGCTTGCGGAACTAAGTACTGTTTCGATATGGCAAGTTTTTCTTCACCAACATAACCAGACATTTCTATCAGTTCCATTCGATCCCGTAAAGGATCAGGTATGCTATCTATTACATTAGCTGTACAAATAAACAGTACCTAGAAAAATTAAAATTTTAAAACATGTTCATAAGTATAAAATACAAACAGTTGATTGGATGGATAGTGATGGTGTGAAATCAGTCTATTACATACGTACTTTTGAAAGATCTACAGGAACATCTAAATAATGGTCTAGGAAATTTTTATTTTGTTCTGGATCAAGTAGTTCTAACAGAGCAGACGCAGGATCACCTTGGTGACTTCTAAACAACGAAAATAAAAATAAATAAATGAATTGCTCATTTCAGCAATCTGGATACACAGATTAGACATTTCTACTCACCGGCCGATTTTGTCAACCTCATCAATGAGTATTAGGGGATTTTCTGTTTTGGTCTTTTTAAGGCATTGAATAACTTTCCCAGGCATTGCACCTACATACGTTCTACGATGGCCTTTGATTTCAGCTACATCTGTCATTCCACCAACACTAAATCTAAAGTATTCTCGATTGAGAGCTCTTGCAATGGATCTTGCAATACTAGTTTTGCCAACACCAGGTGGCCCATGGAAACATAAGATCTTGCCTTGTGTGGAACCCTTTAACTGACTTACAGCAATAAATTCTGTAAAGGGAATACAAACAAAATTATTAAGAAAGAAATTCATATTAAGTTACAGTAGTTATTGTTACCAACATCTGACCTAATACACGCTTCTTTATTTCTTCCATGCCATAGTGATCTTCTTCAAGAATCTCAGAAGCTCGGCTGATTTCAAGGTTTTCTTCACTAGATATACCCCATGGTAAAGTAGTCAGCCAATCCAGGTAGTTTCTTGTTACACTACAAATAAAGGTAAAAAATTTAGCTATAACCACAAGCTTTTACTCACAAGATAGAATAACTTTGAAATAGTTACAATTGAATGAACCTACTTGAATTCTGAGGAATGATTTTCAAGCAGACCAAGTTTGTTTAGTTCCTCCTCCACTACATCCATAACAGCTTGAGGTACAGTTTTATCCTTAAATTACAGTACACTTTATAATCAGTAAAAGGTAAAGAAAATCACCAATGAAAAATCAAACTGAAAATCTCACCTTAAGCCGTTCACGGAATTTTTCACCGATAGCATCCTTATCTTCCTTTTCTAAACCCAATTCTTTCTTAATAACTTTCAACTGTTCATGCAAAATGTATTTACGATGCTGCTGTTTAACTTTCTCTTCCACCTCTCGCCCAATCTTTTGCTGAAGTTTGCTAAGTTCTAACTCCTTCTTTAGCAGCGCTAGAGACAAGAAAAGTCTTTTGTTGATCTAGAAAAGAATTACATTTTTAGTAATAACCATAATATTTGGTGCAAAATTTATATACAAGACTGACAAATATGTAATTATGACATACATCCATTTCTTCAAGAACTGCTTGAAGTTCTGCTGGTTCTGCACCAGTTAATGCAGCACCAAGGTCAGATAAGTAAACAGGATTGTCAACCACTCTCTGACCTTGATGCAGCATCTGATGTAGTGACTCTTTGTAGAGGGGATTTAGATTAATTATGTCTCTAATTGTTTTAATTACTTCCTGAGTCAATGCCTGAAATTGGTTTTTAAAGGTTGCACTTATTATGCCTTCACTAGTAAATATTTTTCATAATATTAATGAAGATCAAAACAACACATGTAGAAACCAAACCAACCGTACCTTGATTTCCTCTGATACTCGGAAAGTATTATGAGTGACATTCTCTGTTTCAACCATGAGGAGTGGTTCATTTATAGGGACTTCTGTACTAGACCCTTCAAATGAAGATTCTTGTCCAGTAACATCAATTTTTTCAATATTGAGTCCATCAATGGGTGTAGTTTCAGTGCCAGAAATTTCAGACTTCTCCGAGGCCATTTTGACAGAGTCATTTTCAGACGCATTGAGATTGTTCCGTTTCTTCCGTCTTTTTCGCAGTCCTCTCCTCTCTGATTCCACATCCTCTACAAAAACATCAACTGTTACGTTATTAGGGAACTTCAGTTTCATTTCTGTGAAAACAATATTGAGAGACATTTCTTAAACACAAATATTAATTCTAGCCCTGAAAATCCATTTGCAATGCATAGAAAATGAGGTACCTTCAGGTCCTTCTTCCACAATGTCTGGAATTTGTTTTATAATTTTAATCCTGCGATGAGCCATGACGACTAATCGTAGGCGATCCCCTACATCTTGTAGCTCATGGATTTGAACAAAAGTACCAATTTGATAAACATCGTTTAAGTTTTTAACAACTTGGGATTCATTTCTGTAGGAGATTAGGCAAACAGTAATGGTTACAGTCTTAACATATCTTCAAGGTCAACACACACCATAGGTACTGAAAACTACATACTCTTCATTCTTCTTCAGAAACACTCCACAGTAGGGTTGATTAAGTTTAACCTTTCGTCGAATAACATCCATTAACAGGGGATCAGTAATCTATGAATAAAATAATGATTTCAACATTAATATACATAAGCATTTAAGAGGGCGTATTAACATGAGTCAATAAATGTCGATCACCTCTATTAGTTTTATGAATCTCGGAAAAACCGGATTTCTGTTGATAGCTATGAGAGGAACGTTTGGCCAAACTTCTGGAACAACCACCGTAGCCGGTAGGGATTGGGTTATAGGGCCAAAGTCTTCTTCAGGAGCCGCAGAAGCACCATCGTCGGAGCCGTTGCTGGAGCCTGCCGGAGCGGAGCCCAAAGCCCTTGTAGCTGTCAGAAAGGGTTGTCGACGAGTTTGGGGAAGTCTTTGAGTTACAAAAGATCCTTGTGCTCTCCTAGAACAGACGACACTACTCGTGCGCCAGGTACTAGCATAACGCTGCGGAAGACTGCACAGCGTTCGGGTAACGCCACTGCGAATTCGAACGGCGGATAACAACATTTCCAATTAGGTACGGAAAGAACTGTTGACAAACAAATTAATTGAAACCGTTTGATTTGCAACTAAACAAGCGCACGGTACCCGAGTTTCATCATATCATTCATACACGACGATCTGGCTTCTTTCTTTCTTCTTCCTCACCAGTCCAAAGCGCTCTCCATCGACAAGTACGAGAACCTTCCAAAATAGCGCGAGTTTCAAAACAAATCGCAGAATATTGCCATTTTGCCGAGGTAGCAGGGGTTAGCTTTGACTGTAAATGATTTTTAATGCTCGAAAACACTTTCCAAAGTGAAAAGTTGAGTTTTTACCGTGTCTATTTTGTTTTATACAACAACTAGACCAGTTTTTTTAACAATCACAGTTCTGACCAGTCGGCTCACATTTTGTGAGAATAAGACAGCACCCTAGCGTGGGTTGGAAAAACCGGAGACGCTCTCAATCCAACCGACGCCATTGTTCCGGTGGCAGAGAGTTTATCGGTGTGTTGTAAATTGTATTTGTTCCCTGTAGTTGAAGCAAGATTTCATCTTGCTAGTTATTTTCGGGTCCTTGGTGGTATTTTCACCAACTAGGTAAGGTCTTAGTCACATCAAAGCTTCGCACTTTCTCCTAAAACCGTTGTCAAAATTTACCCATATCACCCTCCTGTCGGGGCTGCTGTGTAGCCTATTTTGTGAACTTCATTATCTCACTTGTAAGATAGCTTCAAAACCAATATTACAGTTTCTGGAGCTTTGTTTACCCAGTGTGTTGGTAAACGTTGTATATTTGTTAAGGAGATACCTCTTTATGTTATGTGCAGGCCTTTCAGAGCTAGGTTGCTACTTGTCTGCACCTTAGGCTGTTAGCTGTCCCATGGCTCCAGTGAAGACGGTTGCAGTCCCAACCCAAAAATTCCTTTTGTTTTTGTTCTATAATTTGTACAAGTAGCTAACAATTTGTCCTAGGTACATTTTGGTCCCCCTATTTAATTTTTGATTTAATCAGCAATTTGAGCTGCATTATTTATGATCCATCTTGCCTCACCATAAACTGTGGTCTATTTAATTATGTTGCATCCATTTTATTTTTGAAGCAACAACAAAATGTGATTTGTGTGTTACAGCTCCCACAATGACTTCCGACTTCAATGATGAAGAGGAGGGCCACGTTGTCAAACTTCGTGGTCTGCCTTGGTCAACCACAGTCGGCGAAATCTACAATTTTTTCAGTATGGTGTTATTTATTCAATCAGTATTTGACATTTAGGCAAGCAACCTCTCTAAGTGATCATAATTTGTCTGTTTTGTAGGTGACTGCAATATTAAGAATGGCAAGTTGGGGATTCAAATGACACTGTCCCGGGAAGGAAGGCCTAGTGGAGAGGCTTACGTTGAAATGATGTCAGAAGAAGATGTTGAGAAAGCCTGCAAGAGAGATAGAGATCATATGGGCCACAGATACATTGAAGGTAAAATGTTAGCTCATGTTAGCTAATTGTCTCTTTAGTGCAGATACCTTGCAACTGACTCTTTCTGTCGTTTCTTCTTGCAGTGTTTAAAGCAAAGCGCTCGGAGATGGAATATGTTGTGAAGCGCAGTGGCCTTCTTGTTGAAGATTCGGCTGATGATGCATGTATAAGACTAAGAGGTCTGCCATTTGGATGCGCAAAAGATGAGATTGTTAAATTTTTTGACGGTAAGTAAATTTCTGTCTTTTAATTCTTTACATGCAGTTCTCACTGACTGTTGCAATCTTAAGTTTTTTATCATTTAAACTTGCTTACCAATGTTAGACAACTTTTTTTTATCATTTTGTTTTCAAAATTGAGTATGTCAGTTGAAGGAGATGAAATCTTTTATGAGACAGCAGAATTTATAGAATGGAGCTGGCTCTCCTTCTGTTGTCATATTCATTGTGCTTTTAGTTCCCATTGCAATCTTACATTTACATAGAGTTTAGAGATGACAATTTTACCATGAATTATTTGAGGCTTGTCACTGCTAGCATCTTGAATTTTGATCTTTGTCCCTGCTCTGTGTGTGTCCGGAATGTCAATTGATTCTCCTGCCGACAGATAAGCATGCATTGGCTTCCTGTGTTCCTTTTAGTTTTCTTCAGTATTGATTATAAAATCCTAAGACTCGTGCCTATTCTTAGTTTTACTTGTTTCATTTGAGTTCAATTCAGTTTTCCTCCTTTAAACTCTATTTGACCAAACAATCAATCCTTATTGGATTCTACTTTAAATAACAATAGTCAGATTTGTTTCCAGAATGCATAGTAGCACCTGTGTGCTTTACGCATGTAGCATGATCTATAGCAGTGACAAGCCACTTGACTGTTTGGAGGTTTCTTCAAACAGTCACCATATGAAGTGTATCATGTACTTGTGATTTGAGCAGTTGTGTTGATGCTTGTCCTACTGGTATATATTTTTATAAGTTATGAAAATTCTCACTTAAACTGTAACCTGCATTTTTGCGCAGAAGATAGTTTTCTTTTTCTTTGATAAGTACATTGGCTAATTTTCATTCTCATTCTATTAGTTTTTGCTTAAATTGTTTAACTTTACTTTACCAACACAACTGCTCTCTTTTTATTAATAATTGCTGTGTGCTGATGGGCATCTTGTATTGGTTGGTTGGGTAGGGTTGGAGATAGTTCCCAACGGGATATCCATACCAACAGACTACATGGGAAGGAGTTCGGGGGAGGCTTACGTTCAATTTGAGAACAAAGACATGGCTGAGAAAGCAATGGAGAAGCACAAGGAGAAGATAGGACCAAGGTGGGGACAAGAAGAGAATGGGATGGGAGGGACGGGTGGATGGATGGGCGGGTGGGATCATCACCCTCACTCCTCACTTTTCCACCTCTCTTTCTCTCTTGCATTTTTATTATTCTATGTTATTTTTATATTGAGTTGAAGTGCTCTATTTTTATGCTCTTGCACGATGGGCATTTAAATTGTGGTTTTGGGTGGCTGGAAGGTAGGTGGCTGTCTTGTTAAACATTTTTAATGCATATTCTCCTCTGAGGCCCTTGATCCGACCCACATCCTGTGGAAAATTTTGCTTATATGAATCTTGTTCCCAAAACAAGCTTTTATGTTTAGACATTCTGGAAGACGTGCCCTTTTGAGTTTCAGTTGAAGGGCCCACTGTGCATTGACTAGATCTTAACTTCATATGGCTTGGTCCTTTTAACTGTAAAATATATTGCTTAGATTGTAAATTTTGCCATCTTTGTTTTTATTTTAATGAAGCATTCATAATAGAAACAGTAAATTAAGTACAGTATGTGGTCTGGGCTGTATTCCATAATCTATTGCACTTGTGTGATATTTAACCCTTAATTCAAACTCAATGATGTGGCCAAGTAATGTGTGTCAGATGTTTTCCTCATGTGCTGGGAAGTGAATGTACCTGAAGTCCTATTTATCCTAGCCAAGTGTAACAATTTGAGTAAAGTCGTGAAAGTGTAGTTGTATTAGAAATAACTGCTTTTGATCTTTTTTAGATCTTTTCAAAATTTGTTTTGCTAGTTTTAAATTTTAATTCTTTGATAGTATTCTGTAGAGCTAAAGTAAAAGCAGCATGTAGGCGCGCTAAGGGTCTTCACTTTCCAGAACAATGTGATTCTTGTAGAAGAGCATGTGCATGCATCTCTGTAGTGATGACAGGCAGGCATGCGGGTCGGAGACGGGCCGGGCGTGTTGTCAGGTGAGGGAGGCTAGATTAAGAGGAGAGAGGGTAAGTTGGCTTCAGTGCATTCTGCCGAGGGCCTTCTGTCCATGGGCCTTCAGAGGGACGTCCAAGGGCCTGTCGAGGGACCCTGGAGGGGACCGAGGGCACAGGAACGGGAGGAGGGCTCTGGGACGGGCTGGTCTGGTATGGTGGGTGAAGCTGAGCTCCGCTCTTCCTCTTACCAACATGGTTTTCGAAAGGTTTTCGTTCACCTTGAATGAGATGGTTTGAAAATTATACCTGCAGTAAATGCATTTATAG